TTCTTCTCAAGTCGATCACGAGAAGCCTGACTTGGCCCGTAGACCGCACCTCCTAATCGTACCCACCCCACAATTGTCTCAAGATTACTGACGCTGGAGTACGAATCGAAGATCTGCCAACAGGTATGCCCTTACCCTGCCATTTCTAGCCTTTTTATAATCTGTACACTAGGCCTTCCCACCTGGCGATAGCTTCATCGTCCCACCCTTGCCCAATGTGACTGTTGTCAACGAGTTGGGAGATTTTGATTTGGCAGCCGACTATCTGGCTTTTATCGACGGAGAGGGTGAGCCATTTGTTGTTCTTTAGCATCAACGTATCCTGACTTTTTGTTTACTTTCAGTCGATCCCTGGCGTCCCGATACACCCCACAGTGAAGACGCTTGGGATAGGGAAGACACTATCCTTCGACCCTTCAAGGTTATACCTGGTGCGTCCAGCTCCCAACTGCTGCCACATTCTTTAACTTTCTCTTTTGTGCTGTAGGTGGCGTACATCATTGGGACGAGAATGGACTTGCCAATGTACTCGACGAACCTGCGGACATTAGGAAGATCCACGGAGAGATGGTTTACTTCGTTAATGAGTGGTTGAGCGCTTGGAAGCCCCCCAGCCAACGCTCATGATCGGCTAGGGTATTGGAGATGAACAAGGAGACGAAGAAAGGAGGGAGAGAAGCTTTATATCTGGACTTGTTGTACCTGGAAATGCTGTCCAGTTAGTATCTAGTGTGCCGCTGCTATGTTTTGCTTTCAAACACTTTTATGTACTATGCTATTCGACGTGCGATTCTTCTCGGCCTTGCACTAGTCCTGGATACCGGAGGCTCTGATGTGACTCACCCTCTGGGGGCGCAATTAGACACAGTAATATCTCTCCTAGCAGCGAAACCTAGTTGATAGGCCAATATTATGCAAGCCCGGCTATATTGTATTGAGTGCGTATTGTATGAGAGAGGATTCAAGCGCGTGGCCGGTGGGCGCGTTTGCGAGCCCGACACGCGCGATTGCCTTTTTTGGACTTTGCCACGTGCCACCCAACAGGCGGCGCGTGGCGATCGGCCAATCGCGACCTGGCAACCTTCTTAACCACACCACGACCACATCACATATTCCGTCTTCTAGTCCAGCCTCGAACTCAATTGCCAAATGTCTCCTCCTCGAGAAACCCTTCCCACAAGCCACACAGGGATTCAACGTGCCCGGCCTCACCCCCGACTCGGAAGCGGGATACCACAAGATCGACCAGGAAATCCAACACGCGAAGGACCATATCCTCGACGTACTCTTCTTACGGAATTCGATATCCCCTATCTCGCGTTTTCCAGTCGAACTGCTCTCACAGTCGATGATGCAGACTTGTACCTCAGGCGAACCCCCCTGGCGCTCGTATTGCTCTCTGCTGGGTATCTAAGCATGTGACACTCGGAGATGCACGATCGTGGACTCGCGTTGTGAACTACTTTCATGACGGTGACACTCTTCCTATGGGACTAGATTACACGAAACAGTGTCTCATACGCAGCATCCAAACATGCTATGACTACGAGTTGTTACCGATCCATCGATTATCCAAGCGCTCATAGTGCTCATAATCGAAGTCTGCCCTCAGGCTCTTGTTTTACATAGCGCTCCTCATGGGGTTACCGTTGTTCGTCGGTTAAGATGCCCCGCGTGGCGGAGATCTCAAGATGTACCCTTTTTACAACACTTAGTGGATTGCCTTGTACTATCCACGAATATGACGTTGTATCTGTTCCAGGGGTTTCTTCAATCTCGAACAAAAGCTCCTCGACAGATCTTGTCCTGGTGAACCTCGTTCTTCAATAAATGCCGGGATCGAGGAGTAGTATTCCTTCACTCAAACCCCAACTTACTGTCCTCACCCCCTGTTGTGGTTACCACATATCTCGCGCCTATTAAACTACCGCAATTCAAACCGTCTTCATAAATCACCACTCCACGATGGAATACAAACGCACCGTTAGCTGTAACAGATACCTTATGGATCCGACCATCCCCTCAGCTTTCCAGGGCAACCTTGAATTCATAACGAATCCAAGTTCCAACGAATGGCCTCCCGCTCTTCGTTGTCCCGAGGACGAACTTTCCATGGGATTTATGTTTGGTACCCTACCCTACCACCAATTCAACGGAATCCAATCCGTAATCATAACCATCGCCAGATTACCACGCAACCAATATCTATACGATGCACACCTTAACCACCTAGCCAAAGTATCGGACTTGGCTGCAGCTGCGGCGAAGGGGAAGTTAACCGTTAATCCGGAGGGATCGCTCGCCACAGCATCGGGACCGGGATATGGACAGGAAGAGAAACCGAGTAAATCGAGGCTGAGGATTTTGAAGGAGAAATTGGCTGCACGAAAGGATCCATCAGCTCGAGCTAGTGGATGTGGTACTTCTGGTTCCAATGGTGAAAGTCTCGTCAGACAAAATCCAAACCAGCAACGGGAAGTTGTTGACCGAGTTCAACAGAATTCATGGAGTCCCTTGAAGCGTTCATTATTCCTAATGGCGGCGCGTGCAATCCTCGACAAGTTCGGCAAAGATTATATCTTGCATCACTTCGCAGGACTAATCGGCCCTCATTCTGGGAATTGTGATGAACTGGAACGACAGTTGTGGTTGGAGAACCCGACTGTGGAAAGGGTCGAGGAGTCGAGGAAGGAGACTGAGAATTGGCTCTTATCAGTCCACCATTGGGAGTACTATCTAGCGAGCATGCTGAAAGAGACGATGGAGAACCAAAGAAGAGAGGAAGAGCAGCAGAACACAGAAGAGGGTGAATCCGAAGGAGACCAGGATAAAGATCGTTCAGGCGACGAACTAAATTGGGAAAAACGAGAATTCCGTTTTACGGAGCCTTGTAAGTTACATCAAAAGAGGCTACTCGTCCAGCACTTCATCCAGTGTCAATGGGCAGAATCTAACGATAATAATGAGCCACCTAAGCCATTGGAAATCGAATGGAAGTTCAGTCATGACCCTGAGGATGAGGAGGATGAGGAAGACGAAGAATTTGTATCGCTGGAGAAGTCAGTAGACGGTATAAACGCACCTGAAAGTAGACTAGAAGGACTTGTACGAGAGACAACCTGTCCGGAGGAATATTTATCAGCTCTTTAACTGTACTCTGCTTGAGATACCAGCGAACCGTTGGCGTCAATGGTGGACTGAAGAACTCTGTCAACAAATGTTTCTTCTCCGTAGGGCTAGTGGAAAAATTTGCAGTGCCCTACTTTGCATCGGCCTGTGGCGGGTGGAAGTTGGTGTAGACCTGGACATTTGGAGGATAATATTTCTCACGCCATTTGCTCACATTGACCTATACATACCCACGACGCCTGCCCAGCTACTCCTCTTCAAGTTTTCGCCATGGCCCTTGTCGTCGAAGCGTCGTCACCACAAAATGCTACTGGATTCACCATCGCTGGACTTGCTCTAGATGCCGCCTACAACCGAATCCACACCGAAATTCTGCATTGGGAGCATCACATTCGCAGCCTGAAATCCCTACACAACTCTATTACACCCGTCTCGCGCCTCCCAAACGAACTTCTATCAAGAATAATGAACATTGCCTATCCACAGAGCGGAACCCCTCCTCACACTCGTCTCATCCTTAGCTGGGTGTGTAGGTATTGGCGCAATATTGCGCTGGCGGATCCACAGCTTTGGTGTATGATTCCGGATGACCCGCCTTTATGCCTGGAATATATGCAAGAGTGCATCGCTCGTAGCAAGAGCTGTGACCTAGAAATTCATCTTTGGTTTCCTTCGAATGCCGTATTCAAGTCATGCATGGCCCAGCTTCATCGGATCCGAAGGTTGTCGTCTAGGCCGCCACATGGCACACAGAAATCACGACTTAAGAAGCTCTGGAACCAACCTGCACCACGCCTTTCGTCGCTGGCGCTCACGGAAATGCCATTCTCTCCGAAATTGTCCTGATGTCTGTCCAGACCTCACGTTTCTTGAGCTCGTGAAGTGTAAATTCGACTGGGGATCTCCCCTATCCGCGTCCGCCCTCACCACACTTCGCATCATTTCTCCTCATACTACAATGGCTGGCGATTTCCTGGCGGCGGGACTGCTTATGATGCCATTTCTGGTCAATTGCCATCTCGAGTCCTGCCTGAAGGATATCACTACGCCTGTCCTCGTGCCACATCGTTTGTCCTCTCTGCGCAGCCTCTACATTGAGGATAAAATGAACCCCATCCTCAGTTTTTTGCGGATAATTGAAATTTCAGAGATTTGTTCATCGGGTGTACGCATTAACGACGCGTCCCAAACGGAGGAAGAACTCCTCCTGACGTTCAATATCTTTCAGAGACTCCACCCTTCTATGTGGAACGACGTCCGTCACCTTACCATCCGACCTCAGGCTGTTGAGGTGGAGAATTCGTCCTCCACCTGTAAGGACAGTATCGTATTCCACTCCGACACTGAACTCGACTTCGACACCCTGCCATTTTCACGTCACCTCCTCTCCATTAACCACCTAGAAACCTTATGTGTCGAGGGCCCCTTTCACAACCTACCCGAGATTGTAGGGGCACTGGATTCCCTTCGAATCATCAAGTTCTATGACCGCGCTGAGACAGTCTCTGATCTGCTCGCCTATGTCATCTATGCAGAGGAAAATGGACAGATGGTGGTACCTTTACCAGCTCTCATGGAACTCCACTGCGATTCTCCTTCATTCCTGTTATACAACGTACTTGAAAATCGACGGAACGTAGCGCAGAGGCGATTGCCTAAGCTGGTCTTTCGTGAGTGTTCCAGGGCTGATATGGAGAGATACAACGGAGTTGCGGACGTGGTTACCTCGAATGGGTTTCTCAGTGTGGAAGATCTGGAAACAGACGGCGCAACGTTATCTGGGGGTTCTGCCTTAAAGTTGTAACCTCCGAGCCGTCTACTGAAGCGGCTGTTTCTCCAGACCGAGCCATCCAGTCGCCGCGATATATATCGGGCTCTTAGCGCACAGGTAGCGCGCACGCTTCGCATAGGCTACTTACGGCCCAAGATATCGTGTAGTTGTGAGATGTGTGAGTATCGTGGGTTCAAACCCCACATCGAATCCACCGGAGAGTCAATTTTTATTTAATTTTTGTCAAACCAATCTTCTCTACGCGTGGTACTGTAAATAGTTCGTGGCTTGCCATCGCTTTACAACGACATCGATAAACTGTTTGCATTATATCTAACCTTTTCAACTGTATACTGTATGATGAGGTCGCTTGTTGCAGTTGACGTGGTATCCAATAGGCTGCCACTGCCAAGGGCTGAACTGTTCGCGTCCGTAGAAGAAATTTGAGCACTCAGAGATTCTGTTCAAACGGACGAAATCTTCTCCATAACCATCGTCAACTGGGTGAGGAGGCCTGCCTTTACAGTATCGGTTGTGTGCGCTAAGCGCTCCTTTTCGTGCCCGTGGCGGGCTAAGCTAAGTTCGAAGTCACTACGACAGCATTAGGATAACATCTCCCACGTCCATCACTGTGCACAGGACAGCAACCAATTGCACGGAATACATTTCAAGGCCTTCCAACTCTTCCCATCTCCTGCAAACAAGCAAACTAACGACTTGAAATCCCATAATCCACAGCCGAATCGTCATGATGGGCAATAAAAGTTCCAACAAGGCGTCTGGGTCTTCTTCCGCGGAAAGCGCCAAGAGCAAGAAGATACCCCAGCTTGCAGAGTACATCAAATCAGATAAATGCAAAAGGATCGTTCTAATGGTATGTCTTCTGTTTGAAGAAGGCTTTGCGCCCGCTTTGCCCTCGAGGAAATGCTGATAAGATCGGTAATGTACTCGCTATGCTATGATGTCACCTTTCGTAGCTTGGTGCTGGTAAGCAGGACTTCCTCTGCATCGTTCACGAAACTCATATTTGAGTATAAAGGTGTCAGTACGGCAGCTGGTATACCAGACTTCAGATCTCCGAAGACAGGTATGTTCCGGTGCTCTTAATACCCATGAATTACTCGTTCTGAAGATCCTACCAGGTCTCTATGTACGTTCATGCAGTTCCAGGTCCAGGAATTACCATTCAAACCAAACTTTCTAGGCAAATCTCCAACGCCTTAACCTCCCGCACCCAGAGGCTGTCTTCGAAATCGGCTTTTTCAGACGGAACCCCGTCCCATGTAAGTCCAAATCTCACTCCACATCTCCAAAATAACATCAATCCTCCCAACTCTCTCATATACGCAGTTTACACCCTCGCACGCGAACTCTACCCAGGAAAATTCCGCCCAACATTGACACACTCCTTCATCCGTCTTCTTGCCCAACATGACCTCCTCCACATGTGTTTTACCCAAAACATCGACACTCTCGAACGTCAAGCCGGTGTTCCTGACGATAAAATCATAGAAGCACACGGAAGTTTCGCTTCGTCAAGATGTATTGAATGTTTAAGACCGTACGATAACGACGATATGAAGATCATGGTTGAATGCCAAGATATTCCTCACTGTCATCATTGCGAAAATTTGGTCAAACCCGAGATCGTGTTCTTCGGAGAAGCGGTAAGTTATGTTATCTGCTTTTTAAAACGTCAGCATATATTCAGAATCTCATGCATTGACTCTCAAAGTTACCTCCAAAATTCGTCAACTCCATTGGTAAAGTCTCCGAAGCCGATCTTCTACTTATCATCGGCACATCCCTGACTGTCCATCCATTTGCTTCACTCGCGTGGAGGGCTTCTGATTCAACACCTCGTGTCCTCATCAATATGGATAGTGTCGGGGATTTGGGTCACCGTCGTTCAGACGTCGTCCTCTTGGGTAAATGCGACGACATCGTAGTAGAGCTTGCAAAAGAACTTGGGTGGTACGATGAACTGGTGGCACTATGGGACGAAACGGCGTTAGATCGTAAAGTGGACGAGACGAAGAAAGACGAAAAGAAGGATGCAAAGAAGAAGAGGTCTGAAGAGTATAGAAAGGCAACTGAGGAGGGTGACGAAGAGGATGAAGAAGATAAAGACGCAGAGGGTGAAATAGACGATTGGGCAGACGGTGCAGGAGAAGTTTCGTTGGCAGACGCCAAAGCTGAGGTGGAGAAATTGGCTTCTGAGTTACAGAAGGTTTTGGACATTAAAGACGAGGGAACAAAAGTGGAAGTGGCTGCATCGACGGCAGGAGATGGGAAGGATGACAAGCCTTATATTCCAGCTAAACCGCCTGCTCAACCAGAGAGGGACCTGCCCGCACCGAAGTCAGAGGAGGGTTCCGACAAGGCAGCAAAGCCAACCGAGTCTGAAGGAAAGCTGTAATTTTTTTGCATGTATAATTCACACCACCTCTTGCAACGGCATGGATAATCACATTGTACAAGTACGTAGACCTGTAATACGCATACACACTGTACATCTATCCTGTTAGCACCGTCAGCACAGAAAAACTTTCCGAGTCAGTACCCACTCACCAGATCTACACCAATCACATCGATATCTGACACAAAACCCAAAAATCGATAAGGAAATGTACGCCTCACATACTACTCCGACCCAAGCACTGATCTCGCAATCGGGAGAAGTCCCCACAGAGGCACTCGCATCAACCTCAACATCATCGAAATCTCGTCCCCGTTTAAGTAAATCTGAATCGCGAGCATATTTCTCTCCGACGTCCATGAAACCTCTGCCTAATCCCCGAAGGTATTGGCACGCATTCGTTTGAGGTAGTAAAGTCCCTCGAGGAGAGGTCTCAATACGAACATGATGAGGTGGATGTTGGTTGGAGAGAAAGGAAAGCCTACGCAAGCGACAAGCGACACCGGAGGCTGCTGGTAAATATGGATATACAGCGGAAGTAGTCTTTGATCCGCTACGTTTGGCTCCGAGTTCCCCAATCATACTACTATGCAACGATCCAGGTGATGATCACAGTTTCTACATGACCAATGGATCCCACGGGACATTTCCATTGTCCAATGGACTCGTTTAATTGACGACCGTGAAAGCATAAAGTGGTTAGTAGGAACCAGGGACGATTCAGAGCGTGTGCGCCCACATCATGAATATCCGAATGACTCGCGATGGCCCATGCTACTTACTGACGTGGTGCCAGTGAACACGAATAAAAAGACGAGATCAAACGTGTTGGAGAAGAGTATACAGTATATGCGTATATTACTGCACAGAAACAATTCAACTTCCTTGTGTTGTTCAGTTACCCGGATTGACGGGGTTGCAGCCCAGCTGGATCCCCGTTATCTAAAGGGCTCATAAGTTTTGAGCTACAACAATTATTTACCACGTACAGCACGGTTACCAGCGCAGCAGAGGGGCTTTCCGGCACTACGAACATAGGTGTTAGAAGATAAACGGACAGTGGTGGGACTAGGCGATCACCAATTGAATCCAACTCTGGGAATGGGCCTGCACCCCGCTGAAGACAGAGTCAGTAATGAGTTCAAACTACGAGAAGATTCCAACTCACTTGCGGCGTCACCGACGATAGTGCTGAGGTTGATGCCGAGGGTACCAGCCAATTGAGTAATCAGCGGGTCATCGAGCTACGAAAGTGATCAGCACCAGTCATCACAGCCCTACAAGACTTACGGGTATGACAGCATCACAACATTGGTAGCTGCAGTCCCCCGTCTGACGAGGAAGAATGGTTGCAGAAGCGAGAAGAGCGAGAGCAAGAGTAGAAGAAACGACGCGGAAGAGCATTGTGAATGTGTTGGATGAACTGGGTGATTGGAAAAGCAACAGAAGAAGTTGCTCGTATTTAAGCTCCAGTTGGCCCGCAACCTGCCCAGGGAAACGGCTGGGTGTGTGAGAAGCTCAAAGTACACGGGGAGGATGCTTGGACATATGATTCTACCATTCCATCAGTCGGACGAAGCGCACTAGCGCTGAAGACCCAAACCGTACTCTTTGGAAAAGTAGCACTTTCAGTTTCGAGACAAAAGGAAGCCCCAAGATTATATTCGGGAGAGGTGCACATCGGTTCAAGAGTACCGTAAGTTGACAGAAATATCACTGGTGAGGGCATTGCAGAACATTCTGTTCGTAACCGAGTCTGACCGTACCAGCTGATTGGACGTGTCAAATACGGGTTATTTATCCGTGAAGACAGGGGACAAAAGTGTGTTGTGGCTCACCATTTTATCGGTTCCAGTTCGGTACCAGAAGTACATTGTGCAACTTCGGTACGTTACCAGACATCCATAGTCTGGATATATAGACTGCACTGACCGAAAGCAGGAGTCATGTCGCCTTTTGGCTCATTGCTTTAGCAGAGGGTCTATCCCATTGCAATTGCACATCGGCACCTGTGAACCTTTACAGTTTCTGAACGAGGGACCTCAGGGGGGCTATTTCACTAGATCGTCCGACGGGGAGCAGAATCTAGCAGAATAGGCTGAAGGTCGTGACAGATAAACTGGCCGGAAGAGTCGGTGAGCAAGTGCGCCTGTTGCACCAAGGACGCTCTCGGAGAACAAAGACAAGGCAGGTAAGGATTTTTTTCAACAAGTGCTGGTTGAGAGGATCGAAGCTAGCCCAAGCAAGCCACCGAGGGGGATTGCGTTGGAGAGAGAGAAATGGAGGGCGGTGACAGAATGTACGCCTAACTCACCTCCTCAGATTCAAGGTACACAGTCGGAGGCTGCTGAAAAACACGAACCAACAACGGAAGCAGCCTTTTGATCCGCCACTGTAGTACGGTCCAAGCTCAGACTCAGAAAGCGCAACATGCACGTACAGTACAGTACCAATGGTACCGATACCAACAATCATTTACTTTCATATGCATAAGCTACACCAATATCATACCATGCAACAATAACGGATAACGGAGGATCCAAAAGACCACACAAGCGACAAACGAAGAGAAACTCGATCGCGAGACACGGAAGAGAAGACTGCTGTAGGGTAGAAAAATAAAACTAAGGCCGAGACCAAGGCTGAGAGTCCGAAAAAGTCGTAAAGAACGTTTGAGAGATGGCCCAACACTTGGTCCATCCACACAAATAAGAAACACACACAACACAGCCCGAACGACGAGGATGACGATGATGACGATGAGGACAATGCAAAGAAATCGAAATCGAGAAACA